CAATAACACCCTTACTGTATGTACAGCACACAAATATTTTCATTAAAAACTAATTCACCAAAAGTTTTTTTTTTCTAAAGGTTGTAGTACGCTCCTAGTGGCCTTGGATTCTATAGGAGATTATTTATATTTATATTTATATTCATATTTATGTATGTATGTATGTTTGTGTGTGTGTGTGTGTGCGTGTGTGTGTTTGTCTGTACAGTACAGTGTGTGCATAATTCTTGCAAGTTTTGCCACATTTTACCAATTCCAAACCACATCAGTCTTAATAACTACTTTTAATTTGGTATTTAATCATTTATAAGTGATATATAATTGTCCAACCTGTTTTTTCTGACCCTGCTGACCCAATGAGCATTTTGCTGTCCAATGGTCATGCCTTAACTTTGCAATTTCTGTAGTGCATTAGTTTTTAATATTTCTCATGGGCATTTAATCATTTTTTTGTTAAATCTCTTTTATTTGCCTCATTTTATCGGTAAAAGAAAACGTACTTAATAATTATGCACACATGAATATATGAAGTTTTTCACTTCCAGCCTTCAGGGACAATTATATATCACTTATAAATGATTAAATACTAAATTAATAGTAGATATGAAGATTGATGTGGTTTGGAATTGGTCAAATGTGCTTGGTAAAAAAAAAATATGATCAGAATATCAACTTGCCTAAGAATTATGCACGCACTGTACTGTACAGACAAACACATGCACACGCACGCACACACACATGCATACATACATACATACATACATACATACATAAATATGAATATAAATAATCTACTATAGAATACAAAGCCACTAGGAGCGTACTACAACCTTTAGAAAAAAAAAACTTTTGGTGAATTAGTTTTTAATGAAAATATTTGTGTGCTGTACATACAGTAAGGGTGTTATTGTCAAATTTTCACCTGTAGTAAGTCAGTCTGGTCACTACGAACATACTGCAACCTTTGGAACATAAAACAGTTTTGGTGAATTTCAGTAATTTTTTCTAAGAATAATTAGATACTGGCAAAATTTCTCCTGTAGTATATCAGTCTGGCCACTAGGAATGTACTATAACATTTGGAACATAAAAAACCCTTTTGGTGAATTACAGTAATTTTTTCAAGAAAATAGTTGTGTACTGCACATACAGAAATGGAGATATTGGCAAAATTTCACCTGTAGTAAGTCAGTTTCGTAATTACAAATGTACTATAGTCTTTGGAAGATGAAAAAACCCTTTTGGTGAATTACAACAATTGTTTTCTAAGAATAATTATGTACTGAATGTACAGTAAGGGTGATATTGGCTAAATTTCAGCTGTAGTAAGTCAGTCTGGCCACTAGTAATGTACTACAACATTTGGAACATAAAAAACCCTTTTGGTGAATTTTAGCAAATTTATTTCTAAAGATTAATTATGTATTGTATGTACAGTAAGGGAGATATTGGCAAATTTTCAACTGTAGTGAGTCAGTCTCATAACTACAAATGTACTACAGTCTTTGGAACATGAAAAAACCCTTTTGGTGAATTACAGTAATTGTTTTCTAAGAATAATTATGTACTGTATGTGCTGTAAGGAAGATATTGGCAAAATTTCACCTGTAGTAAGTCAGTCTTGTAACTACTAGCATACTACAACCTTTGGAACATGAAAAACCCCATTTTGATGAATTACTGTATTTTTTTCCCTAAAAATATTTGTGTACTGTACATACATTAGTGGAGGTATTGTCT